GTGCAATAAGGGAAGTCTTTATAAAACTTCTTTTAAAGAGTGTCAGACAAATTTTATAGTAACTGCCAAAACGTTTATAAAACTGTTTTGTAGTGTTAGTAGAAATTTGTTTCTCCGACACGGTTACGCAACTATTATAAAATACAGAATTGCTAGTTGGAAATTTTTTTAAATTTTTCTCAATAAAGTATACAGTTTATAAGTAATTTGACATAATTGACCTACCTCTTGCGGAGGAATGTCGTAGGTCCTCGTCCTTAAGTCAACCCTCGCATAGGCATCGATACACGGCAAAATGAAGAATATTCCTGAAAATAATGTAAGAGTTTGTGATTTGAAGTATGATATGTTTCAAAATTATCCTGAAAAAATTTTGATATTTCACTTTAATAAATATCTGAAAAATGAAATAAAGTATCCATATTTCGTGAAAGCAGATGATTTTGATGTCAAAGGGTCCTCATATTAACGTAGAGATCCGGCACTAAGCTTCATCTCATCTGTTAGGGCGTCGCGACACCGACGCCACTTTTTATTAAACAATAACATAGATTTTTCAATTTGTTTCTGGATTCTGCATCAAAATCTGAATTCATTCATATAGCAATTTCCCTGAATACTGATGAAAAAAGGCAATTTGAATGCATATTATAAAGAGGGCCATGAATAAGTCAAAATAAATGTAATATACTCAAACTACAGTTTGAGTGTAGCCATAAAGATGATAGCACAGTCTGTTATCGAAAGCGCTCGCATATAATAATTAGAAGTTATTGAAGCTTCAAATCTTTTTTATTGAAAATTTCCTTTTTACCTGGTCCTTTTGCTCCGCCCGATAGAAGACGTCCCAAACGGAATATGACTGCACGTTCATATTCCTGGACCACCTGAAAAAGTTGGGAAATATAAGTTCAGGTTTTTTAAGCAAAACAGGATACAAAGCTTCTCAAGTTTTGAAAGCAAGACTGTTCAAAAACTAGTGTTCAAATTTCGCGGGCTTCGTACATTCGATTTGTGTTTTTTGTTCATTTTTCCCATCACACGTCTTGAACATATATTCACAGATTCAGTTGTTAAGCATGTTTAGATTGTTGTTGTACACAGAAGGTTGTGGAGATGTGAATAACGACACTCACTACGCCCCAGCACATCAACAACACTATTAGAGAAGTTGCTGAGGATGTCTGCATATCAGTTTGCTTATGTCATGAGATTTTTTCGAAAATGTTGAGCATAAAGCGTGTGGCAGAAAGTTTGTTCCAAAATTGCTGAATTTTGAACAAAAAATCCGTCGCATGAGCATAGTTCAGGAATTATTGACTGACGTCAACGGCAATCTAGATTTGCCTGGTTAGGAATCATGGGTATATGACAAAATGGTTTAGACTTTCACGGCTGAGGTTTTCAGTGTCGTTGCTTTTCGAGTTCGAAAGCCGAGGGTTTTTGGAATTTCTTCCTGACGTTTCGCTGGCGCGAGTGGCTAGCTTCTTCAGAGGTTTAACCATCATGGCTTGCTGTCCGATGACTAACTTTTAGGCTTCGTAAAGCGTATTTATGCCTTGTCAGGTAATCAGTTTCTATTTGTACCTGAATTTTTATCTGTATTCGTACCTGCACTTGAACCTGGAACATTACCAATCTTGCTACCTGTTGTCTTGTTCGTTATTCTCGAATTCTTTAAAATTGGGTTCCATATTTGATTGAGGTTCACCGCTTTTTCTTTTCTGTTAAAATTATCCGTGTGTTTGTGGATCTCTATTGACTCCCGTACCAGTCGGTTATGGTATCCCTGGTTGGGAGCAATTATTTCTGTGTTCTCAAACAAAATTCTGTGGTCTCCTTCACTCAGTGCATGTTCTGCCACAGCTGACTTGTCTGTTTGACCTAGTCTGCAGTTCCTTTTATGCTCTTTTAGTCTTGTTCCCATGGATCGTTTGGTGGTTCCGATATATACCTTTCCACAAGTGCACGGAATGCGATAGACCCCTGCTGGTGATAATGGGTCTCTTTTGTCTTTAGCCGACCTGAGGCTTTATTGTATCTTCCTCGTGGGTTTGAAGACTGTTTCGATGTCGTGTTTGCCCAATAGTTTTCCAATTCTATCCGTGACCCTAGGGACAAACGGTAGATATGCGCGTGCAACCATCTGATCCTTTTTCGCTTTCCGAACCGTGATGCCCCTCGGTCTCATGGTCGGACAGCAAGCCATGATGGTTAAACCTTTGAAGAAGCTAGCCACTCGCACCAGCGAAACGTCAGGAAGAAATTCCAAAAACCCACGGCTTTCAAACTCGAAAAGCAACGACACATGGGTATATGGTTATGACATCGAAACAAAAGTCCGATCGTCCCAATGGAAGAGGCCAGGAAAGCCAACACCAAAAAAGCACGCCAAGTTCGATCAAATATCAAGATTTTGTTCACTGTTTTTTTTTTTCGATTACCGTGACATAGTCCATCAGAAGTTATTGCCATATAGTTGTACGATCAATAAGGAGTATTATCACAATACCAGGGAAACATCCGGTAAATGCAACATCGTAATTATGCCCCAGCCACCGTATTCACCAGATGTGCTACCCTGCGACTTCTTTCAGTTCCCAAGATTGAAAAAACCCATGAAAGGACGGTGTTTTGCGATGATTGAGGAGATAAAAATTGAATCGCTGAGAGAGCTCAAGGACATAAGAAAAAGTGCATATCAGAACTGCTACGAAGATTGAAAAAAACACTGGCAAAAGTGTATTATATCTGAAGGGGACTACTTTGAAGGAAACAAAAGAGAAATTGATGGATAAATGATTTTTTTTTAATTACAATTCACCTTATTCCTTCTATTGTTTGAAAAAAGTTAAAATATATTGAAGAACAAATTAAATGAAGATGCATGAAATTTTGAACTGTTTTACAAAGCTGAAAATCACCGAAATTTTCGGAAATATTAGTTACAAAATGAGTGTTCTTCAATTCTGGGAATGTTTATACTTTGCTAGTTCATTTTCATGTTTTTTTTTTCTGTTTTAACTAACTCTGTTTTAACTAGCGGAATATTTTGGTTAGATGATTTTGAGTATTTTCCCAATTTTTAACATTTCATTAATTTTCATTTCATTTCTTCATCCATAGCTTTCAAATATGTTAACACCTTTTTAGACAATGGAAAAACAAACTTGTTTTAGTTATGTGAATAAATTGCAACAATACTTAACGAATATCTGTGCCTTTGTTTAGAAATGATCCAATATAATTTACTGCAATCGTTATCGAAGTCATCAAGGTTCGAAATGTTAATTCGGTATATTTCTGAAAACTGTACAGGGTGTATCAACGATAGGTGGGTGGACGATTGCTGCTTCCCAATTAGAGATACATAAAAATGTTTCGATAGAGAGTTGTAGATATTAGTAAAATCTGTTTTTCAATAAGTATTACAAATATACAGTGTGTCCAATGACTGTATGACAGACCAAACGTTTTTTTTCATTTAGTACCTTAGTTATTTTCACCTAATTGAATATTTTAGGTAGAGTACTTTTCAGGAAAATAGGGTTGTTTGGGTTCATTCCGGGTGGTTCAGAAGTTATAGTGAAATTTATGACAATAAATGGGTCCATTTAACACCAAATATCCCCTACTCGAGCAAATGAAATGTGGAAATTTTTCAATCAAATATCTTTGAGAATAGTTAATTTTCATTCCGTCTTCATAAATTCACCAAATGGCGCTTATTCTATACAAGAGTAAACAAACAAAACTCGGGATCACTTTTTACCCATACTTTTTCGAACAGAACACCTCGTACACAGGGCCATCCCAAAATAGTCTACACCACGAGCTTTCAGAAAATATAGGGATTATGTGCATCTAGCCTCTCCTTCCACAAAAATGTGCGAAGGAGGAAGATCTAGAAGGATCTCCATGGCCGCTAACGGTGTGATTTCTGATGGCCAGACAAGCCTGTCTCTGTGAGCCAGAAAACTTCGCCTGAGCAGTTTTCTGTAAAGCCTTCGACCACCAGGTAATTGCACCATACGTGATCATTGGTCTGACAATCATCACATAAATCCAATAGATTTTTTTGGGCCTGAACCACAATTTTTATCACAAATCCTTCGACATGTCCATAGGAACATTCTGGCTATGTGTTAAACTTTCTGTAAGCGAGCATTCCAGGTAAGTTTTTTATCAAAGACAATGGAAGATTCGAGGAAACAGGCAGTGTTAAGCATAAGAAAAGGTGAGCAGTAAATAAAACTGCAAGAAAGTTGGATCGACAGAATGTTAATCAAAAATAAAGTTCATCCATACCGAATTACGAAACGGATTATGATATCAGAGTTCGGTATTGCGAAAATTCATTGAATTCAATTAGCAAAACACCGAATATTTTCAAATATGTTTTGTTTTCAGACGAGTCCACATTTGAAAGTAATGGCATGCTAAATAGCAATAATATGCACTACTACTCAACAAAGAACCACCATTGGATGAGAGAAGTCGATTACTAAAACAGATGGTCAATGAATGTTTGGGGGGTATGATTGGGGATCAGGTCATAGGACCATATTTCTTTGATGGGCCTTGAGATGGGAATTGAGATATTTATAGAGATTGTCTCCGAATTGATTCATCAAATTTGTTAGAGGATGTACCAATTGACACAAGGCATAGGTTATATTACCATCATGATGGCGCACCTCCCCCACAACCAAAATCGGGTAAGGAGGGTTCTGAACAGGTGGCGTAGAAATAAATGAATTGGAAGAAATGGATCCATTCACTGGCCAGTACGATCGATTTCTATCTATGGGAATATGTTGAAGGAGTATAGGCTATCGAAAGAAACCAACGACACCAGAAGACATGAATAATAAGATTAGAGAAGTTTTTCGGTTTATTTCAAGAACCTTAATTGAAGTTAGAAGGACAGACTATATTTATGCATTGTTCAAAACGACGTTTCGATTATTAGTATCCACAATCGTCTTTGGGTGATGACTGAACTGATTCTTCTGAGAGATGACTGTTTATGGGTCATTTGAGTACTTTCACTTATCCCCGCTTTTCATTTTTTCCGCTTCACTGGTTCAGTGGGAGATGACCGTTTTGCGGGAGTTGGCCATTTTTCGCTTGATGATGGGTTCCCATATGTTGTGTATTTCTACGCTGGCTTGGCTGAATACGTTGTTGGACAACATGTATGCGGCTTCCTTATTCAGCCAAGCTACCGTAGAAATACGCAACATATGGAAACCCATCATCAAGCGAAAAATGGCCAACTCNGATTTTATAGATGAATCATCGATAAACTTCTCTATCACATTTTTTCCAGAGTTTTTTTTAAGGACAAAACACAAGCACTACAAGAAAATCCTTAATGCGCTCTCAGAGCGGTGCCTGTGCGAAAGTAGTGATTCACAACGATGGGCAGCCATACTGTGTCGCGTATTTCTAATATGTACCGCTCTTGGTGGAATCAAATGTGCCAAGTCAATTGAACACCTCTCGTGAAAGTATTTATAGGAGAGGGAAAAATCTTCAACCTTTTTTCGATGTTCCAGGCTATCAAGGTTGCACGTGATGTTCTCGTCTCCAATCAGGCGGATGGCTCTTTCTGGATGGAATCCAGCAACTTCAGGGTATGTTTGGGGGCAGAGCTCCATACATGAAAACAATACTCCAAAGAAGGTTTGACCTGAGCTTTATAATAGCAGGGGAGCCAACGATGCAAAATGAGAATTTACTCGAGCGTCATTGAGACATATCAGGTTGCAAAGCTTAGATGATATGAAGAAAAAAATGTTATATAATATATACCTTTTCATCGGTGGGGCAAGCGGCTATAGATTTTCAAATATGTAAAAAAATACTGTTGCATGGACAGAGT